TTGATTAAGCAAATAACAACAGCTGCTAATATTGCAAAGACATATTTAAACATTTCACACAGATGCATTATGCTAAGATTGTACTTTTTTATGATAGGATACGTGCAACTAACAAAATTTTCCTAGTGCTTAAATTCTGGTAATCTATTTGCAGGTGGAATTTGTTTTATTGCCATCACCAGCAGGTCATGAAAATAGCAGTCAGCTTCTGCAGCAAGAAACATCATGCTTTCCCAAGAATACTGTGCTTTTCCCAACACTTCCATTGATATCTGTTAGCTTAAATCTGAGAGCGTTAAAAGAAACTGTCAAAATAAAATGAAAGATATCATCTGACGATCCAGTCTGCTTCCATTTAAATTTCTCCAGTTGGTTTTATTTTATAAATAGTCGACAGTCCCACTGTGAATACAAGGTTAGCGGTCTCTCTCTGAGGTCTGCTGCACTTCACGAGCAGTTGATGCTGCAATTCCCTTACTCATGATTTCACCCAAGGCGAAGGCTTTCACTAGACCTCCACCCCAGTGAGCTCTGGTATCCCCCAGCGACTGCTTGAGCTGCTCCGGGCCCTGGACCCACAGGTGGAGGTACCAAAGCTCCCATCTTCCTCGGGGTGTGCCCAGCCTCGGGGTCTCCTGGCGATGAGGAACCCTGAGGGGGGACCTGCCCACATGACTTGCAGATCTTCGTTAGCACGGAGACTTGGGAGCACATTTCAAAGCGTTAAAAATGCCGAGAGCTTCAGCAGAATACACAATTATTTTTGATATTTTGCAAAGCCAGAAAGGAACAACTGATCCCTCCCCAATGTCATAAAGTGCCTGAAGGTCAGTGAACCTGCCAATAACAGTTGCTCACCACGTGCTGAATTTTCAGCCACACATTTGTCAGATGCCATAAAAAGACCAAGACCTGTGACTCGTGGCACCTGCAGAAAACCATCTCAGGTAATAGGCATATCTATTTCAGTGACATCTGGGGTCAGGCTTATTTTCTCACATTTCTATTATTTAACTGTGAGCCTCATCATGAGGAATCAATCTCTATTTCAAGATCATAGAGGCATTTTCTATTTGTCTAACATTGCAGGAGCCCTGCTGATCAATTGCAATAAAACAATCAACTCCTGACGTGCCTTTGGCGCGCAGCAACTCCAGAACTCACAAAGGCAGACTGCATAAACTGCTAGGCAGCAAACTGAATGCAATAAACTATCATTTTCACAAACACCTTCTCAAAATCAAAATGTAAAGTACACACTTCAGGTTCAGCATCTCCAGTGGTTCCCAGAACAAACCACTGAAGCGCAGAGGTGAGAAGAGACGCTTCTCTCACCCCAGGCCTCCTCTGCTGCACCCCATCCACTTCGATGGCCAGCTTTCTCCTTCGCCAACAGCCCTGCCGTGGCTCCGCGCTGCTGCACGGCTAGGACAGGGGCAGAAAACAGAAGGGAGGACCTGGGGGATCTACCTTCTTCATTTTTAAGACGGCTTTTTCAGATTGCAGATGCCGATCTGTGGAGACCAATACTTTTTGCAGAAACACACTGGCTTTGACTGAACTTTTCACAGATGCTATTTCCCAGAGTCAAAACATAACTTCCAGCCAAAGTCAGGGATCAATCTGAGGTGAGATTTCCATCTCCCATGACAGCTCTCTAACCACTGAACCCATCTCTTCCCCCAGTGCAAATAAAAGCAAAACAGCTGCAAAAGGGGAGAGGAATAACAATATTACAGGGGATGCCATTCGATGGACAGGAGCCCCAGGTGTTCATTTGCTCTTGATTTTTGCACAGTGGGGAGTCGAATCTCTGCTCCTTAAATTTACTTGAGGGATTTTTTCTTCTTGAATATCAACTTTTAATTTCATCCTGCTCCCCACCAAACCTTTGGTTATCCAAACTGGATTTTGGAGACTGGAAGGGTGTCTTAAAAAAAACCTAGAAAATTTCGTTTGGTTACTTTCTGGTTCTGACCTGGATGGAGGCCCCTCATGTACAGGGCAGGAGACTGCAAACTACAACAACCACTTGTGCTTATGACTCCTCTTTTTGTATTACAAAATGTAGTTAGAGACTCCCTACAGAAACAGCAGGTGTCTTGGCACACAATGCAATGGTAACCTCGGTCTTGGGCTCAGTGTCTATCCAAGCTGTCACAGATTTAAGATGACAGAAGAAAATGAGTATTTGTATGCTACCCTGGCCATACATCATCACTGCAGGCCATGATTTGCAACATTTTGAGTAGAAGATTTTCTTTTATGGTAATACCAAGTGAAAGGGTACAGTGCCCAGAATTGCAATTCATCAGGGTGCTCAGCCTGTCTTCACGAGCTTTTTGACCATAGAGACAATAGATACTTGGTAGGAAAAGTGTTTGACTTTGACCATATTGATCATACTTCACCACATGGATGTTACAGCACATGAATTACTTCTCTAAAACACTGACTTGCTGTTACTGCAATATTTACTTTTAATATCAGCATCGGTTAAGTGCACGGATCTATTCAATATACAAGCTTCCCTAAAAATACTGATTTCTACGTCAATTATAATGCTTTGTGCTAGTAGCTATTTTGGTTTTAATACTTCATAGACTGAAATACAGTTCATATTAACAAGAAGTGTCTTTACAGTTCTTGCCTTTCAGAGGTTTTTTTGGCACAGAAACTGTACCTGTAAACAAGTGGATTATAATGCAGTATCGGAGATGTAATTTCATACCAGCTTCTTACAGAAACAATAAACCCATTTGATGTAATTTTCAAAAATGAACATCATAAAACTAGGCTGTTCTCAACTTGCCAGAGTTTTTAAAGGAGAAGTCAGAATAATAGCTTTTAAAAAAATGTATTAAAAATGCAATAGTGCAAGTATTATTGCTTATGGTCTCCTGTTGATACCACCAAATCCTTGTAACTCACATTCTTAAAAGAGCAAACAAAGCATGCACTAGAGTGTCTCAAGGAAGCAAAACATTAGTCTTCCAAATGTATTATTTTTTTCCTAGCATTTAGGTGCTTTTACTAACACTTACTGCACTGCACTGATTTGGACATAAAAAGCCTGAGCAGCACATTTCTGCAAAACTCTGAATGTTAGTCATATCCACTAAATAACATTAAGAAAATGGCATGAAATTCTACTGAATAATTTAATAAAAATCATAGTGAGTACTCAATCTTCTGGTTCTATTACATACAAGTACGGGAATCGTTAAATTAGATTTGTACCAAAATACTAGCAGAAGCAGAAATAACCCTTAAACCACTTCTTTTTCACCAGAAGTAAAGCCATTTTATCCCTATGTTCAGGACTTCCTAAGATTATCCAACAGAGGGCTCCCAGCAGCTATTAAAAGTGTAATTGAAAGTCAAATACATGAACTCTAACGTATACACACAAATCAGCATACTGTCATTTTAACAACCTGTTCTGTATGCACGCACCTATACTCATTTTAGAAATTTGTAAAAGCATACAGTAAAACCACCCAGGTAGTGCCGTGTCATAATTTATATGCAATGAAAGTACGGTAGCTCAAGACTTTTTCCAAAACACTATTTTTAACTGTGGCAAATGAGCATCTCTTTAAATTGTCTTTACACAAATGAAATTACATTTGCTTATAATTTCTTTACTCCCACTTGAGAAAAATACCAAGAAAATCATGTAAAACAAAGCTTGAAGGCTATGTGAGTATCGGCCAGTGTAAGGGGCAAGGGCAGGGACTGAAGCCTGGGCAGGTGCTCATGCACCCCGAGCACTTCTTTGCTAAAGCCAGCCTGCACCTGACAAGCTTCATCTCATCAAGGCAAAGATGCTCCTGGACTGTTTCAGCAAGAGGCTATTTCAGACGAGGTTAAACCTCATTCTCTTTGTTGAGATGGCTGCAAACTGAGGTTGCAGAACAGTCATTTTGCAATGCTTAAGTAATCAATGTACTTGGTAGATTATGCTTTTCTGACATTCAGATATCTGAGGCTAACAAAACCCAAACATTTTTTAGGATTTTGCCAATGCAGCAGGAAATCTGAGTTTGTGGAGCCTTGGTATGTGCTCTCAGGGTTTAGGAAGAACTTCAACCATCCACCAAAATGTCCTCAGAGACTGTAAGTAAAAGGGTCCTGTATATACCTTTCATCCTGAGGTTGCCAGTAACACTACTCCCCACACCATTTAAATGCCTTTATTTTAAATACAGGACATCGTAATGCATTGTGGCATATCTTCTCCCAGTAACATACGATGAGAGTTCCTGCAGGCTACATACTGTTTTGAAAATTTGATTGAGTGCCACAGTCAATGCAGTATCATGTTGGTGTATCCTGCCTGATCAAAAAACTGCACAGCACATTATCTGCTCAGAGTGTGATCATAAGCCAAAGCTCTTGTCCTGCAATAAATTAACTTTAGTATTTGAATAATAAACTATTCACCACAGATGAAGATAATACATAAACTATTGTAGGAGAATTTTACAGTATTAAAAAGAAATTATCTGTTATTCAGCAAGTTCATTCTACAGCAACTGTAAATGTGCCCAGAATGGTAGCCGACTGGGCATATTTTTTCTACTTCTGAGATTCAATTTGTTTTCCATAATAGCTTTCGAGCTTATCTATGATAATACTTATTTGCTTTCCTCGACACCTTTACATTCAGCTGTGAAAATACATACCTGTACCCTTTTGCACATGCTACAAAAGTAATATAACAGATATACTCTTCTGAATGTTGGTGATTAACTCCTCCAAAAGTAATTGGACATGGGCAGTGGGAATGAGTACACCCTCAGCAAGTTTGCCAAGAACACTGAGCCATGTGGTGCAGTAGATACGCTGGAGGGAAGAGATGCCATCCATAGGGACCTGGATAGGCATGAGAGGTGGGCCTACGTGAATTTTAGTAAGCCTAAGAGTGCATACAATGCGTGTATGGAAACACCGACAGTGTAATAAACACATCAAATGAACTCTAATCCTTTACTTACCACAAGTCTCCATCTTCAATAGTCTTATCGTTTGGGGCTCCAGCATGGCCGTAGTGTAAAACAGATGAGTTCTCCCCACTGACATGTGAAAACAAAATTCAGCGTCATTAATGGAAGAAGAAACATTAACATACAGAAAATGTGAAGGAACGTTGTAAACATGACGTTGCAAACATCAGTGTATTCACATATTAAACGCAAAATTTTGGAGGTCTGTGGGAACCGCCAAAGGCCCTGCCCTAGCATGGGCTGTAGCTTGCTCAGCTGAAATGGGTACAGAATGGACACTTTACTACTGTGGCTGCAAGATATGGCCTTTCTACAGAAGGCACTCGGCACAGTTCATATAAATACTTCCCATGCCCGCGACAGTATTCAGGAAACAACTATGCAAGAGTAATTTTTCAACCTATACCCGCTTCTAATTACTAAGTGGTATGTTTCCCTACGTGAGGTTAAATATTCTGATGAGCCATAAAACCCAAACCTCCACTGGAGTCACATCTGACCTGTTCAAAACACTCTGGGAGTCACACTAGCAGTCCAAGGAACCAGCTCCAGTTCACCTCTGGCACAGCCACACGTGATCTCTGCAGGAGCGGCTACACTGCACGCTGCTCGGGCAGCCTTCGCAGCGTACAATGTCAGCAGCAATAAAGGGCATGAGAATTGTCACTCTACTCTTATCTCTTATTAAAAACCGCATTACAATGATTTTTATTCCTGGAAACCTTTCAGACTAAACTGCTTATTCATAGGAATAAAACATCTCCAGAGAAGGATGGACCCTTGTTCTGCACTTCTGAAGCTCTGCGACACATTTGCTGACCTATATTTGTCCTTGGTGTCCTCTCTTGTCTACTGATATTCCCCCAGATCTATCAAACATCAGTTAAAAGACTGGTAAAGATCTCAAGCTTTGCCTATTTCTCTTTTGCTATTCTCCTCAGATATATGCTCTCTCTCTTTTTCTGTTCAAAAGCTAGAAGAATTATATCACATCGAAAAATACATGTGTTGGGACAGAGTTACTGTGGCATCTCGCTGACCCCTGCAGCTGCCTTGCCAGTCTGTACCTCACCTTTCATCAAAACTGCATTGGTCACCCTGCTCAAATTTGATTCTTTCAAGTTGTGATGGTGGAACAGCTTCATACCTTAGGTGAAATCAATCTGAGTCTCAATTTCAATGAATCTTTTGTTGTATCTGGAATAAATGTGCCATCTGACATACCACTCATATTAGACTTCTGCTACATGCAATTACAAAACCAGTAAACAGGCACTGTAGCCATGAAGAGATTGCCTTCAAGATCAACTAGATATTTAATAGATCATTGGCCATTCAGATATAATAACTCCATAAGCAATGATTATGGAGGAGAAAGTAGTTGCTGCCGTAAGTTTCTGAAGGCACTCAGTCTAAAGGGTTGGATGATGTTAATATTTGGAAAGCAGCACATTTTTACTATTATTTCTTAGCATATAAGAATCACGATGCAATAAGGCAGTGAAACACAATGTTTTAGAATAGGGGGAATGCTTTTCTGACACAAAGTGTATTTCTTAAAACAATATATACTCCAAAGGGAAAAATTACAGTTGTTAAATCAAGAGTTTATCAAATCACAGAACTGAGGCTGCAAGAAATTTCTTTCATGATGCTGGTCCAATGGCTTAGGGACAGTTTAACAACCTGCTACTAGTTGGCTGCTTTTTACTTCCTGGACATCTGACTTGGGAATCTACGCTGTTGTGCAGATCACTAAAATGTCCCCATTAAGCTTGGACACAAGATGACGACAGCCATGAATCTCCTTCCAAGATGTCCTTTCTCCTGGGAACTGGTGGACTAGTTCCTTCTGGCCACAATTCTATCTTTTTAAACCAGAACACTTTAAAATTTAGCTTGCTCTGTCTGCAAAAGAGATCTCTAATAGGGCAATGGCCTGAAATCAAAAGAAAAGGGCCTTTTGTGCCGGGCAACATGTACAGCAGGAACTGTGTTTGTTTCCAGCCTCAGCTGTCTCCTTCCATGTGCAGGTGACAACAGCTGATACAGCACCTGCCTCTGCGATGGACCATCAGCCTGATGAGAAGAGGCTGCCAACATTCCCTGCCTGGTAAAGGACTACAGTTCTGGGGAGGCGGCACTTGGAAGCAACTGGAATGACCCTTGGTGCTATGCATGACACCATGAACCCACATGCTTGGTGTTTAAGGAAAACCACAAAAACCATAAAGAACCCTAATGCCTCACACGCACACACATGCTCTCTCACACACACATGCTCCAAAGGAATTTTTCTGTATTTTTAGCTGCAGATACTATTCCTTATCTCTCTCTACAAACAGGGATAAAGTATGAGAAGCAAATAGCACATGCATATATTTATGATCAACTTTTAAAAAATTATCATGAAGCTTAAGGGCATGGCTTCATGCTAATGTATTTGCAGATAGCTTGTTTACTTATCATCATATGCTGGCACCCCTGGTGTCATATACCGTACCAGCTGCACAAACAAGTCCTATATTCAAATACGAGCACTGCACAAATGCTTTCAACAATAGACTATTTCAAATACAAAGGTGGTGGATTTCTTTTGCACATTTTAATGTAAAGTTTTTAGTTTACAAAATATTTCTGTAAGGTTTGGCACCAACTGTTATGGAAGATGCATGAAAAATCTGGTTTTCAGCACCGTTAGTGAAGCATCAAGCAGCACACAATCTTCCCTGGCATTTGAGGCTCATCTGTCACACACATCTTGGCTCCATCGCATAAATGGGATCGTACCACAGAGTGCACCGTTGCTGCTGCTGACCGGGTAAGTATATCATACGCATTTCAAGTTTTTGCCGGTTTGAAGTGATCGGGGTGAGGTGGTCTGCTCGCTTGGGACTGGCTCTGGGCAGGTCCTCCGGGCTGAAGACCTCTCAGCAACCAAGGCACAGCACCCACCTGCTCCTGAAAGCTCTCCCAGCTGTTTTTCACCCAAAAGAAATCCAGCAGGTGCACTCCAGGACTGGTCTCCGACTGAGCGAGGGCCCACAGATGGGGATGAGTGGGACATCTTGCTTCAGAAACATGCTACCAACCCAAATTAAAACACTGATGTGGCCAGTCCTCCAGCTCGTTCCTGCCAAGAGGTGCAAGTCCAATCTTCCTCACAGGAAGAGTCTTACCACCATCCCGAGATGACGGCAGGAAAGATGCTTTAGAAGCAGTGCTGCAGAAGTGATTACCCACAAGGTAAATGCTACAGCTAGTCACAAATTGCTCATAATGATTCAGTAAGACTTTCAAGGTGGTTTCAAAACGGTTTAAAAAAACCCACCAGACATTGGCAAGAGCCTTCCAGTAAAAACTATTTCTTTTTGTCCTGAAGAACAATTGTTGAAAGGTCTGGCATCAGAGCACCAAAGCTGGGGTTGAAAATGAAGCGCTGTGGGAAGCCGAGGATCACCTGCAGCTCTCCTGCCTTCCTGGAGGTGGTTGCAGAGACACTGATGCCTCCGCCTCCACCTAAGTCCAGTAGGAAACTGGTTACCAGTGGATGCCATCTATTGTTGGGTCAGCAGGGCGCACTGTTCGTGTAACTTAACCTTTGTTTTCCCTTTTGTAAAAATGGTACCCTGAGACACTGCAATAAATAATTCATTGGCATTTGAACACTACTCGGAAGTCAACACTTTGTAGATCAGTGCTAAATATATCCAAGCACGTTTATCAAACACCACCATTCTCATTCTGCAGCACTTATGTGACGCCTGTTCGCACTTAAAACCACTGACAAGTTGACAGTGTTTGAAAGCATCACTAACTACTGGTCTAACCTTGCTATGTGATGACCTGTAATACTAACATACGTGTGGTATAATTCTTCAGCTGATTAGAGAAAGAATACATGCAAGCGAACACATAAAGCATATTTGGTCACACCAAATATTCATTTACTATCTCCTGAAGAGTGTAACACTGGACATGGATGTTAACAAATGCACGGACTCAACGTGTGCCAGGTGATTTATTTCTGTACTGAAATAATGGCATTGATTTCCAGCTTAGTGAGTATCTTCTCTAAAATCTGTGTAACAAACTTGGTTTTTATGTAAAAGCATGATTCTCTTCTGCAGAAATTACTATCAGCCCTGTAATCTAAAAAGGAAAGATCCTGTCAAAATATCACAGTTTTACATGTCAGTAAAACAACAAAACTGGGCATGAATAGAATAAAGTGTAACTATTCAAATATCCAAATTGCAAAAGCTATTTCTAATCATAAGTGTAGTTAAATGTAATATTTACAATGCATGACATTTTCACGGTAATAAAAAATGCCTATCATTTTTGTCATTTTTATGCTAATTGAATTCATCAAACAGATCTACTTACATTTTTTACAAGAACCTAGCTTTAACCTGTTAATAT